GATATATTAATTCTTAAATATGCAAATGAATTAAACTAATTAAATTTCCATGAATTCATTAAAATCATCTGCTAGGGTGAGGATGTGCCTAGTATGTTTATGGGTACAGATGTTAAGTGTGCAAGATAATTTATAGTCAGCCCTCTGAATCCATGGCTTTTGCACCTATGGATTCAATATGATACAAAATATTTGAAAAAAAAATCACATCCATATTGAACAAATATGAACGTCTTATGACTATTCCATAAAAATGATCAAAACCAATAATTGATATAGCAATTACATTGCACTAGGTATTGCAACTAACCTAGAAATTATTTAAGGTATACAGGAGGATGTGAGATTTATGTCAGCAATACACTATTTTTTAACAGGTGACTGAGCATCCTGGATTTTTGTATCTGTGAGGGTCCTGGAATCATTTCCTCATTGACACAGAAGAAGCTGTTTTCAGACTTGAGCATGTTTCTTTTCCTAAACTTTTCTCTCTATTCCAAGTCAGTTGGGTTCTGGACTCTTAGAAATTGGGATTGGAAACAATCCCATCCTGGCTTTGGTTTGAAGAAGTTATGAGCATCTGAGTTATCAGACTAGGGCAAGGAGCACAAAGGAGAGTAATGGGGCTTGGAGAAGGGACTGGTCCTCTACAGCACTACAGCTGCCTCAGATGAGAACACGGGTGTACTAGATAGCTTCCGTTGTCAACTCCATACACCTGAAAGGGAGGAAACTCAATTGGAGAATTTCCTGTATCAGAATGGCCTGTGGGCATGTCTATGATACATTTTCTTGATTGTTGAGTGATGAGGGAAGGCCCAGCTAAATGTGGATGGTGTCACTCCTGGGCAGATGCTCCTCAGTTGTATAAGAAAGCAGGCTGATCACAGCCAGAGGAGCAAGCCAGTAAGCAGTATCTGTTCTGTGCTTCAGTTCCTGCCTCCAGGTTGCTGCCCTAAGTGCCTTTCTTGCCTTCCCCTGATGATGGGCTGATAGCTGTAAGTCAAATAAACCCTTTTCCTCTCCAGTGCTTTTGGTCAGCATTCTTCTATCATAGCATTAGAGAAGCAAACTAGGAGAGTGGGCTTGGAAAATGGGCATTTCAGCAGGAGATAAACACTGGTAAGGCTTCCCAGGATGCTTCCCAAAATGCTCACTCCGAAATTCTAAGACGTCTTCCTGCACAGTCCCAAAGACTGACAAAGAAATTTCATTAATGACTAACAGTACATTATTTCCTGCTAGGAGACCAGATAATGGTTCAAAACCAGATGCAATCGACTATCTAGAAACATACTATTTCTCCATCTAGTTTGCATGCAACCCTACCCACAGCAAACCTGTATGAACAGCGAATAGATAACCTTTGTAATGAATGCTAAACTTGCAGTGTGTCTTAAAACCAAACTTTTAATTTTCTTTTCTCCTAAGGAATTTCTCTCAGTAAGCTTCTATATAAAAGACTTGATTATGCAAAGGAAGATGGCATTTAAGGAACCTTATGTTTATTACTTTTGAAGTACACATGAACATAGTCCCTCTCCTTTTTTGGGCTTCAAGTGAGGCATTCCTGTATAAATACCTCTCTAATAAGCAAGAAATATTTAGAGAAACTAAACATTTATACTTCTGTCAAAACAATACAAAATAAGATTAGGGGCTATAAGTGAAATAGGTATATGTCTCCACTAGCTTATCTTATTTGTTTTTCATTGTGGATATTGGAGCAAATTACTTGATATTAAAATTTAAATTTAAGACACTGGAAATGAAGTAGGGTTAATGAGGGGTTGTCTATAGAATACCTTAGATCTAACATGCAACATGACTATTTCACGGTTTATAGAATAATAGAAATATTAACTGAAGCAACCTTGAGTGAAACATTTTTTAAATAAATCAGTCTGTTAAAAGCATTTTTTAACTGATAGAATATTATTTCAAGGCAGGTTTTAGTTGGATGAGATTAACCATTGTGGCCTGAGAGTAAGAATCATCTCTGTGCTGATAAATACACAAAGCAGAAGCTATCAAATTTCTGTGCATAATTAATGCAGCTGTGGATGGAGGGGGCCCACCTGGGAATCTGTGGGTCTTTACATTATTTATACTCTTGAAACTGACCATGGGCACGTATTTTCTGCCCAGCTGCTGCCTTGCTTTTCCACAGCAAGTGCATGTACTGTCTCCCTGCAGAATTTCAATACTGGTGCAAATATTATCTAGACCACATAACATTTTCAACATGAAGTAATATCTATCCAGGCACTTTTTAGCCACTTCCTTCAGAGACAAGCAGCCTAGCCCTAAGTCTGTAGCTCTTAATTAGTCATAAATGGAGCCTTACAGTCTCACATACATCCTTTGATCCTTGACATGAGGGAGGAAATATATCTCAGGCTGTCAGAGTTTGACAAACAAAACCATCTTACGGTTGGTGAAAGTGAGTTACAAAATAGAATCCTAAGTAACCATAAGTTATCCCACAACTCTTTCCTCTCAAAAAAACAAACCAAGGGCTGGAGAGATGGCTCAGTGGTTAAGAGCATTGACTGCTCTTGCAGAGGACCCGGGTCAATCCCCAGCACCCCACATAGTGGCTAACAACCATCTGTCACCCCAGTTCCAGGGAAATTTGGTACTTTCTTCTGACCTCCATAGGCATTGCATGACAGGGGTGCACTTACACATACACATAAAAATAACAAAACACAACCAGACTCATACCTTTTGTTTTGAAGGCAAAATTACATAACTTGCATACATAAGGCCGAACATCAGTGTGAGTGCGTATGTGTTTCTTGAGCATGCTTGGCTTCTTACAACGAATTCCACACTCTTCACAAATATACTTTCCACGTCCACGTCCTCTGACATACACATAATCTTCATTTGATTTATACCTGTTTAAAGAAGGGGCAGCCCACTGTGATTTTAAATACGCTTAGCATGTGACATATCAAGTCAAAAGCTAGTCATTGTCTGGCCTCGATTTCTATGAGGGACTTTTTCAATTATTCACCTTTACTTCTATGAATCCTGGGAAAATTATTATGTCAAATACCTGAAAGAGACAGATAACAGACCTAGCACTGCAAATAAAATGTCACTCTATGTGGAATTACAAATTTGTTGTAGAGATGTTCCAATAGGTTTGCATAAGCCTGAAAGAGTTGCAGACATGAGCCTCCTCCTTTAGGATTTTATTATACCTCCAATCAAGGAACACACCAACATATCAGAATATCACGCTTCATGTATAATCTGTTACCATTACATCATCTAAAATGTACAAGTGCGCACACTCTTCCACATTTGCTAAAATAAGTATAACTGAGAATAGGATTCTTCATTGCAAGTTTCTGCTCTATTTTTACACTCCTGGCACGTGAACGGCTCAGAAATTTCAAGTTTACACAGGCTGAGCTCAGCTCACCAACTGTTGTCTACAGATTTGATCTGTTCTTCCTGGGGATCATGAATCTGTACTAAAGTGGAGTCTGAATTTCGCCTGGCTTCTTGAACGTACTGTTGCATAATGAAAACTAAAGACTTCTGTATAAAATTAGCATTCCAGAAAGATTTCATAGAGCTGCTTGAAAGGATACCTGAGGTCATCAAGTTAAACCAAATTATGTGGATGAATAAAACCTTACATATTTCCTTTAATTATGAAGAGAATAAACCTACAATGTTCTACACTCCCATTTTGTTTGGAATCCAATCACACAGGAGGAATCTGAATATAGTAGAATTCTACTGCAAAATTCAATGAAAGTAGGGTCCCTTATATCACAGTGAGGCTAGCATTAAGGATCCAGTATCATTGTAGGAAGATTTTCCTTTCTGAGGATTCTTTGTACAGCTTCCAAAGCTAAGCCAAAATGCAAAATTCCTTGTTCATTATGGATCGACTTAATGGTACTAGATATATTTTTTTTGCTTTTTTCTATTCTAAAAGGATTATGATTACCTCTATCTTGTTCTAACTAATACCCCAAACAGGTGAAAAAAAAATCAAATTCAAATTTGATTGTCCAACTTCTTACAGCCAGGCATTTAACAAAAAAATCCATCCATATATTGAAATATCAACTTGGCTATGGACAATATTTAATCTTAACATGATCTATGTTTTGGTTAGCACTAATCTAGGTGAGTGTTAAATAGAGTGAAAAAGTGAAAAATAGGAATAATTCAATTTTCCATGACTTTTGCTTCTATTCTCTCTTTTTATAAAACATTTCAACTTCAACTTCTTCAAAATTATTTTTATCTTACATTTGAACTTTATAATAAGTTAGAACACAGCCTAAAAATACAAAAACACCCTTCTCCTTTCAATTTCATTTCCTGTTCGCAACTAAGCAAAATTGCTTATGGGATACAGAATAAAACTGTTTTACAGAAAGCCAATTTTCTTCAGGAAAAGATATTCCAGCCTATTTGTAGCCTGCGTTCATAGTTGATGAGAAACACATTTTATCTTCAAATAATAGAACTTGTTTTCAATCTGTTAGCTGATTAAATCATTTCTTGAAAGAAAGTGTAATTCTATATAAAACTATGTATTCGGAAAATCCGTTCAAATAAATATTTACCCTACAACAGTTCTGCAGACCTACAAATTTACTTGATATTTAATGGATTTGGAAAAAGAGTAATTAAAAGAAACATGTAACTAAGTCATTAACCCTCTTAGATAACCTGTATAATCAGCTCAGTAAGTCTTTCTTGCTATTACTACCACTTTTTAATCAAGAATATAAGAGGTGAGAATCCACTATTTAGAGGGGTGCCTGGTTGCTAGGTAGAAATTAGTGCAAAGATTAAAAAATGATTGGGGCAGAGCCATAACATGGGGCAAGGAACAGAAAAGAAAATGAAATATGTGCATGATGTTTCTGGATCTTCAAAACACAGCAATGAAAGGTTCTCGGGTATGTTTTACACTAGATATCCAAATGTGGTAAAAAAAAAAAAAAATCTAAGGATGACTCAACTATAATAATCTAACTCCCAATTGTTAGAACTGTGTGAGAAACTGATATTTTATCTTACTAAACATTCAACATTTGATTGTAAAAAAGTAGCATTATTTCATCCTTCAAGTATCAATAGAATAAAAGCATATTCATGAAACTATGTAGTTTATTGGTGTGCTAGCAAGATAAGGCTAATGACATTATAATCCCCCAAAATTTAATTAATGTACTTAAAAATTTTTTTAATTGAAATCCTAGATCTAGAACTTCTGTTCCATGGGTTACACTGAATAATGTATTTCTATCAAAATCTAAAATTAGCCATTACACATAGGTAAATTTTCTTAATTATACATATAACAAAATCACTGGACCTTGTTACTTGATTTCCAATGACTCAGAACATTTGAAAATAAATTCCTAGCTTCAGTAGAGACATGATACCTAAATGTGGTGCGACACCTTGACTTGGATCAAGAGAAGAAAAGGATGTTGATAAAGCTGAGCATCCCATGAAAGCTAACAGTTTAAAGAAATTCCGAATTTCCTAGAGATGTGTCTGAGTATCCATGGTTTCACTTATGCAAACATTGCATACAAATATGCCATGTAATAACCCAAATGCCCATAAAATATTAAACAATAAAGGCCTTCAGTGACATCAACAGCCCGCCAATTCAGTAGACTTCATACTAAATTACAGGAGTGAACATTTAAGACAGAGGCTAGAACCATGAATATTACGTCCATTTTTATTGAGACAAAGTTCTAGAAGAAATGTGTGTAGCTGTTATCTTTTGCCAGCCAGAATTCAAAAAATGTGACTGGAAAAGGAATTTACTTTAAGCTTCCACTGAAAGCACAACACACTGTTTTTCCCAGGAAAGAATTCAGGACCATTTACCCTGACTTAGAAACAAATAGTTTACATTTGGACTTATGTTTTCCTTACCCTCCTTCAAAGATTTTAATTCTGATTGGCTCAGCTTGTTTGGACCCAAGATCTTTATCTCCATGAATATCTCCTTTCCCTCTTTCCTTTAAGATATTTCCCACTAATTTCCTTTCTAGTTTGCTGCCAAATAGGAAGGGTGCATCAGGTTTCACCTGTAGGAGAAAAATCGAGAATTATTTCATATGCTTTCTCCAAGAGACACCAGCCTGTACACTCCTTGCTTTCCTTAAATCCATACTAAAAGGCTATGTATACTATAAAGAACATTGGGAATAAAGAACACTGGGAATAAAATCGGGGCAAAAATGACAGTTTCGATTCAGTAAATTCAGTATTTGTTAAAGAACTTAGCTACCCAGTTCGCATTTACACTGTGCACTTTGACAGATATTTCAAAGATACATTCTATTCTTTGAAGTAGCTAGCCAATCTATATTTAAAAAGTTGCCTCAAAACTCATTGAAGGGAAAACTAATAATAAACTAATAATTCATATACATGAAAAAATGTTTTTGAGATCTTTATTTTCTTCATCATTAATATCATTTATTATTTGTTCTAAAACACCCCTTACTCTGCTGGGTGTGGCAACATGCACCTTTAATCCCAACAGCTGGGAGGCTGAGGCAGACAGATCTCTGTGAGAAGGAGCTCAGCCTGGTCTACACAGTGAGCTCCAGGTTAGCTGGAGCTATGGGGAGACCCTGTTTCAAAAACTAAGCTAAACTAAAATGCTCCTTATTCATATTTTACATTTACATGTAAGGTATTAACTGTTCATTTAGGAACAAACCATCCAATAACAGGAAAGTCTGTTTTAAAAAAGCCAGAAAATAAATTTTAGTGAAAAGTGCCATTGACGTTACTGACACTTGCCAATTTGAGTTCTAACACCTCTAAGGTTTCCTTCCCAATCTTTCCTCTCAGTCCCCACTCCCTGTTTTATTCCCTCATTTCATAACGCCCTGAATTTCTCAGGTCTATACTATCACTCTCACTCAGCAGAAGGGAGGATGCCTGACTGACATCAGTCCCGGTGGGAGAATGTCCTGTCTCTGTGGTGAATCAGACACCCTTATTCTTTGAGACTTCCTAAGAGTCCTAAGAGCTAAGGGCATTCCCCACCGCTCGGGAAGGCCATGTTCCTGAGTATTCCTTAGTATGTTTTAGAGTTTGGACCTTCTATCCGGCCAGGCCTGTTTAGCGACCCACAACATGTTGTGCTTTCCAAACCAGGGTCTGTTACCTGTACAAACTGCTTCCAGGCACTGGATGACGTGAGCTTGCCAGTTCCGGGCCTGTGCATAGCAGCCAGAGTGTAAATTTCTGCCGTGATTTTTTGTTTGGATCTCAGAAGAGCCAGTGTAGTCTTGGTGTTCAATCCTGATGGGTTTGGGTTACAGGAACTAATGCACCATGAAGCATAAACTGAGGATTTGAAGGTGGCCTGTTGCACAAAATTGGGTTTTGTATAATTCAAGAAGCACCAACTCACGGTAGTTGTTGTCCGCAGACTAGGGAACTGAAGAATCTGCTGGAAATCTGCCACGTCTGTGAAAAGCAGAGTGGAGTTTGCCACATTCCCGCCAGGGCCAGAGGCCATGTGGACCAGCATGCTAAGGGGCAGCTTGCGGGCCTTCCCTTCCTCTTCCTGCTGACTGTCTCCTCCGGGCAGTGAAGAACTCTGAGGGCTCATACTCATGTCTGATGCAGTCTCATCAATGTCCAGTTCATCTGAGGATTCCCTGCTTTCCGAAAGCCCACTGGACTTCCGCCCTGGAGGGAGCGCCCTGGAGCCAGGAAGCATCTCCCGGCCTGGAGGAAAAGGCTCCCTCGAGGCCCCACTGGTAGATGGATGGTCTTGAGATGAGGAAGGCGACAGGGAGGAGAAGGAAGATGAACTTGACTGCGAGCCGTCCTTGGGCTCTGAGGCGCACCCTTGGCGCACCAGCTGGGGCTTGTGGGGGCGGGAGAGGCCCTTCTTGATGTCCGAGTTGGTGAGCTCCACCGCGCTGAGCTCCTCCACTATCTGCCCATACATCTTCTCTTCTTTCACCCGTTTCTGCTGCTTGGTTTCCATGAAGAGCTCCAAGCTGCTGGCTGGAGAAAGCATCCGTTTGCTACCTCCAAGGGAGGCAGCGCTGTCCGAGGTGGAAGGTAAACACAAAGGGATGGAAGATTCCAAGCCCAAAGGTAAGGTCTGAGGTACTTTCCAAAGTGGGTATTTTTCCAACCCTGCATGCTGTCCAAGCACTTGGGCTATGTTAAAGCCTATCCCTTGCATGGCCGCATTGGTTACCAGTGTCCTTTGGGTCATATTCTCATCGACCTTGCATATGACAATTGCTGGGCTATTCTGCCCCAGTATCTGGGAAATGCTTGTGTACATGACACTTCCATAGGATGGGACGTGGGTCTGGATTCGAACAGGAACCACCGTTCCCGGTAGGGATTGCAAAGGCCCAGCGTTTTCTGAGGCAAAATCTTCTTGAAGAAGCTGCTCAGTGGGAGTTTCTGTGGATTTACTGCTTGTTTCTGATGGGAACTTTGGAGGGAGGTTCTTCAAGGGTAGCCCTGAAGTTCCAGAATAACACAGGTATGGCTGCTCTTTTGCATGTGCATAGTCAGCAGACTTCTTTCCAGTGTGTTCTGCAACGTGCTCTAAGGGATAACTAGAATGACCGTCAGTCTGGAAAGAAGGCTTGCTGTAGCTCTTCTGAGGATGTGGAGCAAAGGGCTGGGGGAAATGCGCCTGCCACCAGGAAGGCTGCTGAGCTGGTAAATGAACCATGCAGACGGTAGGGTACTGAAACTGAAACAAGGTATTCTGGATTGGAGAAAATGGAACTGCATCTTGATGTGGGAACAAATGTGGCTGTTCAGGTAAGTGCTTGCTAGCCATGTAGGATGCGGGTTGCATCAATGGATTTCTCAGAGATTCCTGACTGTCCATGTGCATGATCTGTTGCTGGGCAAGGTGGAGTGGCCCTGAGCTCAGCTGGGCACAAGGTCCCACCACCTGCTTTCCTGGGTCATCCCCTGGGAGAGGTGGGAGCACAGAGGACCATGCGGCCCTCAGGCCAGCATGTAGCTGCTCCATCTGCTCCTGCTTGACGCTGGGGTCCACACCAGCTTCACCTTGGGCGATTTCTGGGGAGCCACTGAAGGAAGCCTGCCGCACCAAAAAGCATTTCTTCCTCTCCCGGGATGGGGACAATGCTGACGTGGATGCCCCTGCTACTGGGGCGTGGGACAGATTCCCGTAATCAAATGATTTGCTCCGGATTTCTGGGACTTCGGTTGGATGAGGACAAGGCATCTGCTCAGAGGAACAACGCCTCATTTCTTTCTGGTGGTGATGACCCGGGACAGACAGCGAATATGAACCCGCAGGGACCGTCAAAAACTCAGAATGCTTCCCACTCTCATCCTGCTTGGGAGGCGCAATGAGTTTGACAGTTTCTTCTCTTTCGAAAGACATGGAGAAGCTGGAGCTGTGGGACAAGTTGCTTTCTTGACTGGGGCTGCGGGAGAGGCCAGTGCCTGTAGACTCAAAACTAGACTCCCCTGAGGAGTGCTCCATATCTGCCAGCCTCAAGCGCTTCTTTTTGGGAGGCAACTTCTCAGCGGGGAGTTGGGAAAGGGTTTCACTTCTCTGGGGCCACTGGAATTCCTCTACAGGCTTCTCTGGTTCCTTGGTCTGAGCCTCCTTCTCCCGGTCAGGTTTATCAGGTTCCTCAGTGACTCTAATTTCGGGAACCTGGATGTTGTGCTGACGAACCAGCCTGGGCTGAGCGTGGCAGGACTGCTGTGGCACCTGCTGTGAAGGGGTTGGCTTGCCCCCACTTTCTGCACCATCCCCTGAAGGACCCCACTCTGGGCTCACCGGGGCTTCTGAAATCTCACTGTCACACGTCTCAGAAGGTGAAGGGGTCTTGTCTTGTGTACAAGCCGCCAGTTCAGCTGACTCAGATCTTTCAAAGGAATTGGGCCGGCTCAGCGAATTTGTGTGCTGAATCACCGAAATCACATTTCCAGGATGCTTCCTACCCAGGTCTGACGTCTTGTCAGAATCAGCAGCTGAGAACGAATCCTCTGACCCAAGAGATGGACTTCCAGATGGCAGCTGGGGTCGAGCTGGGTCAAAGCGCTCAGAGTGACTGTGAGGAGGGTTCTCCTGTCCAGCCATGACAAAGCCACTCCTTCCTCCTTCCTGCAGTTTGGGGTCATACTCTGAAGCCATCATGCCCACAGGAGCGCTACCCATGCCTCCACAAATCATAGGGGTATCCTCTTCATCTCCAACACTCTTCTCTTTTCTGCGTTTTCTGTTCTCACAGGTAGTACCGAACATGGTTGGCACTCCCTGGAATGGCACTGAGAGGTCCATAAAATACTCTCCTCCATGTTTGAAAGAACTCAAGCAGGAAGTGTCCCTGTAACCTTGCTTTGATGATTCAGAGTCTTCCCACTTCTTGTAAGGTTTACGGCATCCATCATAGTCATACCCAACCCTGTCTCCCAGAACCAATTTCTTTTCCTTCAGGGATGAGCTGGCGAGGCTCTTGGACATCCTGGTAGGGTGCTCGGACTCCATGTGCCCCTCTTGTACCGATGGCAGCTCAAACGCCGCTTGTCTTCTTAACATGCGCTGCGGGGGTATGCCTACGGTGCCAGGATAGAATACGTCATCGGACCCTGTCATTCTTTCATCAAATGAGTGACTTCCTCTCAAAGAAGGAGGAATAGTTAAGTTAGTTGCTGAAGAAGTTGGCATTGAGTTGCTTCGAATAAGGGGTGAAGAGTCTACAGGAGCTTCTAGGAGAACTGGGTTGCTGCCTGGGAAATTCCCTGGGTAAAGCCTTCCTTCATTCCTGACAGATGGGATGGCCTGTGGTTGCCTGCACTCACTGTTGAATTTTGTGGACTTCAGCATGCTTGTTTGATTGGGGTCCATTTCTCCTTTGCCAGGAATCAGCTGTGAGACAGGATCTTCAAACATCTTGACATCTAACCTGGTGTTGACATGAGGTAATGGTTCCATGATGCCCCTCCTCCCCATGGTGGCACGCTCCTGACTGGTGGGTGTAACACTGAGTGTATTCCTCGGACTAAGTCGACAGTATTTTCCGAAGATGATTTCTTCATAAGACTTTGCATTTGTGTTGGGAGGGCTTATTTGCTGCTCTGCACTTTCTGAGCGAGAAAAGTAACCAGAATCAGTGCTTCCTTTACTGTGCGGGCTCAGAAGGTTGAGAGATGGCTCAGAATCTTGTCCTTTTTTCTCTGACAGTCTCAGTGCAAGTTTCTGTTTCACCGTGTGAGAGTCATCAGCCTTAGTATTTAAAGACGGATTTGGGAGCATATCAGAGCCAATATACTGAGAGCTCTCATTAGGTAGTGGAATCCCACTTTTGGGGATAATCAAAATTGGCACCTTCATTGGACCTCCCAACGATTCTTCCAAAGACCCGTGGTAGCCACCTCTGCTGGCAATATCCAACGGGATGGGAGGGCCAGGGCTCATTTTGTCAGAAGCCTCAGCAAATAAAGAGCTCTCCTCGTCCGTGTCTGTGCTCTGCTCACCATCCGAATGTATCTCTGCTTCTACATCAATAAAGCCAGCCTCCAGGTCCAATTTAGATACAGCTGACTCCGTGAAAGGTACCAATCCTGCCTTAATTGCATGGGCATGTGACTTTCTGTGCTTGTACAAATTGCTCTTTGTCTTGAAAGAAAAACCACAAGGTATACATGGATATGGCCGCTCCCCAGTGTGGGACCTGATGTGTTTTTTCAGAACACTTGGTTTGGCACATGCCCTGCTGCAGTAAGGGCAAATGTACTTGCCGGGTTTTTTGGGTTTGTGCTCTTTTTTGTGAGCATCTTCCGCCTGTTCGATACTTTTCTGGGAGTATTGGCTATATGCAGGGTTGAGACCTGAAATCTTTTTTCTAGGATAACCACCACCATGGCCATGGATAGGAAAAGGAAATAAGTCCTCAGAGGCAACCGATGGTAAAGGGCCAGGGAAGAGCCAGGGAGGGCCTTCTAGGCTCTGGTGTGGCTTGCCGCTGTGCATGACCCCCTGTGGTAATGAGTGCTGAGGGAAAGAGAGTGAATGTTGGCATGGGTAAGGACTCGGACGGTGCGGTGGGTATTGCTTCTCTGTGACTTGCTGCACCCCTTCGCCAGGTGAGGCCAGCTTCCCGGAACCAAACAGCTGTGCTGATGCTGTGTTTCCTATTTGCTCGGGATCTATTTGTGGTTGCCGCTGTCCGTCTTGACTGCCAAAAGTGCTCATCTTAATAAGAGCTGATTGTTCCTGCCTCCATCTACCTGACGTGCTATCAGTTTCTCCAGACCTTGAGGTAGCTTTTTGTCCTAGAGCTGTGTCCCCAGTGTCCATTTTGTTAAACAAGGTCTTAAGTGCTAATTTGCCCGGAAGCCAAGCAGACTCATGGAGTGTCTCCAAGGCTGCGCTTTTTAAAGCTGGGTTGCTTCCATGTTCCAGGATGTCTGCGAATTTGCCGATTGTTCCTTCTCTTTGGAACCTTCCACACCCACACGGTAGTCAATGGGCATTGGATAGCAATGTCCTTGAATCAGGCTTATAACACAGTTCTTTCCATCCTAGAAATGTCCATCTTTAAAAGCAAAGTGCAAAGCAACAAGAGTTTGTTATGGCATTTGAATATGTTTCAACTGGGATGAAATTGGGGTGATGAAATCTAGGAGAAATTTTGCCCATCAACTACAGCAAAGTTCAATGGCCAGTTTCACTAAAGCACGATAACCTAAAGAAAAGAAAACACAAAGATTGTCATAATAGTTACCAAATCAAGACCAATTCTAGATAATTAGCCTGAAGTTGGACAAATCAAAAATGTTTTCAGTACAAGGAATTCTTTTTATAGCTATTGCATTAATTACCCAATTAAAAATATTAATTTCAAACTTAGGCTTATGTCACAAGCATAAATAGCCTCCCTGGCTGATTTGCAGTCTTTTTTTTTTATTTAAACAAATGTTACTTGATTTTATTTAGGTGAAGTATTTGAAGACTGGGGTTGTAAGCCGAGTGGTAAAGCATGTGCTGGACATTCATGAGGCCCTGGCTCTATCCACCACACACACAAAAAAGCATTTAAAGGAGATTGTATTACTAGATGTTATTTATAATATTGTAAGATTTTTAAAGTTTTCATTAGAAATTTTTAGATGATTCCTGTTATCGCTTACATGAATAAGTATATAATTCTATAGCTTAATATAGACTACATACCTATGTTACACAATATCTCTGTAATAATACAAAATACACATTGCAAATGATATAAATATAATCAACTTAATACAATGCACATTTTACAAAATGTATCTACATAAAATATTTTATATAATGATATGGAATTATGTTTACAGATTGAAAACAGTGATTAGTCGAGCTAGACCCAAGCTAGAAGACTCACAGATCATCCAAGAACTTGGGAGAAAATAGATCAATGGGTCTGAACAAAACAGTCCTAAAACCTTCGTAACATGGACAACAAAGCCTGCCTGGGGGACAGTTTAAAGGACCCAATAAAAATGAAATGATTGGGAAAAAAAAAAGCCAGACATAGTTATCAATGCCTTTACTCCTAGCATATGAGGCAGAGGTAGGTGGATCTCTGAGATGGAGGCCAGTCTACATAGCAAGTGCCAGGCCAGCTGGGATTACAGGGAAACCCTGTCTCAAAACATCAATATCAACAACCCAAAAAAAGGAAGAAATGATTACCTGAACAGTTTAGAGTTCTCATGGGCATGATTATGATTGTCTGGACGCTTCCTGTGTACAAAATAAACATCATTAGGAAAAAAATATTCCAGTAAAACCACAGCATTATACAGAAAGACAAATTCTAATTTCCAGTTCACTATGGAGAGGACCCACAATGCTATGTGCCCTAAAACAACAGCAAGGACTGTTTCACAATGCCCTGGCCTGGGATGGGAAGCCTTATGTTGAGCATAACAGTAGTAACTGGAGCTGAGCCAGCACCACTTCCTTTGCTGTGCAAGCTTGGAAGGCTGAGAGATGGTATAGATCTTGGCCAAAGAAAATAAGTTATAAAAATGTTATAGCAGGTATATGCCAGTATTGAATTATCTGAAATAGAAATCAAGCAAGTAATCCCATTTGCAATAGCTACAACAAAACAAACAAAAAATGAAAACATTTAACCAAAGAGTGGAAAGAGCTCTGCAATAGAAATTATAAAACATTGATGAACGAGACTAAAGAGGATACAGGAAAAACTGGAAAGACATCTCAGCTTCATGGATTGGAAATCAATACAGCAACACAGACATATTACCCAAAGTAATTTACAGATTTAATGCAAGACCCATCAGAATACCAATAAACATTCTTCACAGAACTAGAAAATAAAATCCTGGAATTTACATAGAAACACACACAAACAACACCTAGTAACCTAATAGCCAAAGCCATTTAGAGCAAAAATTAAAAAAAAAAAAATAACAAAGAGGCAAATACTAACTTCAAAATATGCTACAAAGCTATAGTAATCAAAACAGTATAATATTAGGATAACAGACACACAGATCATTGAAACAACAGTGGCCTTAGCAGTGAATCCATTCATCCACAGCAAAATTGGATAATCACACGCAGAAGAATTAAACTAGACCTCTTTCTCTCAGTGGGTTAAAGGCTTACAAAACTGTGAAACTACTAGAGGAAAATATAAGGAAATGCTTCAGGACTTTGGAACAGGCCAAGTTTTTTGTTTGCTTGTTTGTTTGTTTGTTTGTTTGGACATGACCCAAAAACACAGGAAACAAGGCAAAATAGACAAATGGGATTACATCAAACTGAAAACATCTGCATAGTTGACAATCAACAGAGCAAAGAGACAACCTTAAAACTGGGAGAAAATATTTGCAAGCTATACATCTGTCAAGGGGTTGATATTCAGAGTCTATAAGGAATCTGACTAGCAAAATCTCCTCCCAAACAAAAAAATCCTCAAAAATAGTCAAATTAAAAATGGAAAAGACATATAAATAGCCACAAGAAAATATATAAATAGCTGCCTGTCACTTACAAACTGCTCAGTATCACTAATCACCAGAGATATTCAAATCAAAACCAAACTGAGATAGTGCCCCACCCTAGTAAAAATGCTAATATCGAAAAATTGTAAGATAACAAGTGCTCATGAGGATATAAAGAAAATAGAGCCTCTGCACACTGTTGGCCAGGATGTTAATTAGTACAGCCATATAGATAAAAGTATCAAGATGCCTTGGAAAATTAAAAATATAACTACCATGTGATGCAGCAAATACACTATATATCCAAAGGAAATGAAATCAGTATGCCAAAGATACACCTGTCCTCTTCATGCTTGTTGTGGCACTATTCATAGCCACCAAGACACAGAAACAACCTCACTCAGCATCCATCAACTAATGAACAGATAAAGATGGTCTGTTTACCTCTACATCAGGGAATACTATTTTGCCTTAAAAGGAATGAACTTTGGGTGGTGGGGTGACGGCTCAGTTGGTAAAGTGCTTCAATCACACAGAGTCAGGAAGGCTGAGACAGGACGATTCCTGGACTTGTCTGGCCCAGCCGTTCTTACCAAATCAGCAAGCTCCAAGTTCAGTGAAAGACCTTATCTCAAAAGAAATTAAGTAGAGAGTGATTGGGGAGACACAAGTTGTCAACTTCTGTCCTCCACAAACACATGTAGGCATGAGAACCGAACACACATGCAGAATTACACACAAACACACATAAGATGAATCTCCCCAAGCAGACTAGGCTGGCCAGCCAGAGAGCCCCACTGATCCTATTGTCTCCACAACCCAGCACTAGGATTACAAACACATTGTGGGCCATCCTGCATGGCTTTTCTATGTGGGTTATGAGAACCAACTCAAGGTCTCACAGTTGGGCATCAAGCTCTTTTCTAACTGACCTATCTCCCCAGCCCTCAGCCAGTTTTTAATAGTAGTTAAGTTGTAGAAATGGAGCCTGAAAGTCAAAGGAAATAGGAAGGAAGGGATTTTTCCTTTTCAACTTATGACTTTTGGTAATTTAAATTTTGTATTAAGTTCCCAAGTTAAGCTCAAGAACTTCTCTTTTCCTTTAATAATATTTTTACTGATTCTTGAGAATTTCATACAATGTATTTTGATCATATTCAGATCCCTATCTCCTCTCAGATCCACCCCCACCTGCCTACCCCACCCCCTTCATGTTCTCCATTTTTTATATTTTATTTATTATTTTTATTTTATGTGTATGTGTGTATTGCCTGCATATAGGTAAGTGCACCCGTATTGTGCAATGCCCACGGAGGACAGAAGAGGCTCTTGGAACTGGAGTTACGGACAGTTGTTAGCTGCCATGTGGGTGCTGGGATTCCAACCCAGGTCTTCTGCAAGAACAACCAGTGTTCTTAACTGCTGAGCCATCTCTCCAGCCCCATTTTTAAAGACCTATTGAATCCAATTTGTATTCCCCTAACACTCTTGGGTATGGGTCCATCCCCTGGAATATGGTCAACCCATCCAGCACCAGACCCTTAAAGAAAACTGACTCTTCATTTCCTAGAAGCTATCAATTGCCAATAGATCTTCAGATAGAGCTGGGACTTGGTGTTCACCTCCCCACTCCATGCCTGGGTTTTGTCTAGCTTGGATCAAGCACTGTTCTTATTTCCATTGCAAAATCGCTGCCTCACACAGAGCTCTGCTGTGAGGATGATGAAGGGGAAAGAGTGGGTATGCCCAAGGGAATGCTTGGTCTCTCCAGAGAGAAATCAGTAGATCCCAAATATTTGTAGCAAGACATCTGTAACCAGCCACTTCCTCTGCTACTAGTTAGGAGGCATAATGGATCTTTAAAGTAGTTGCCATATAAACTAAACCACAAACATATTAACTTTGGTTAGTCAATGAGGCTAACAAGAACACATGATGTTACACATAAACTAGTGAAATTCAGTGTCTAATTAATTCAAAATTTAAAATTCTTATAGATATAACCTGTGTTGGACTTTCAGCTGCAAGCAACACCCTCTAAAATGGAATTAAGTGTGCTTCTGAATAGGGAAGAAACGTGGGAGTCCTCAATTGAGATTCAGAGCTTGAAGCAATTTTCAACTTACTTTGCAGATTTAACGTTTTGCATTTATATTGGTCTATGAATGTAGTGCCTATACTAATACTGGTTGAACATCTCTTCAAAAATTCTGAAATTAAAAATGCTCCAAAATCTGAAACTTTCTGAGCATCAACATAATGCTACAGGTGAAAATTTCCACACCTGACCTCACGTAGTTGTCTCAAAGGCAGACACACTAAAACATTCTACCAGGCTCTGTGTATAAGGTATATGTGAAATGTAAATAAATTTAAACGTGGATTCCATCCCTAAGATATCTTATTATACACACTCAAACACTCCAGAATTTTTTTTTCAAAAGCTGACACATCTGTTCCCAAGCACGTACAGGTGCAGAATACTCAACCAGTGACAGCAGTGGTTGTCACCCATTATGCATTTACTATATACTAACACTGTTAGAATTTAAGGGATTTCATATATGTTATCTCACATGTTATTCATGACACCCCTAAGCTGCATTGCTACATCCATTCCACAGGTGGGAATACTGAGTGTCAGAACCTAAATCCAATGCAAGCCCACTGACCTCTGAGCACCAGAACTCTCATCTCCTCTCCATTAAGTTTTATCTCAACTGAAAATACTGCACCTTCAGTAATGTCTTCCCCTAAGAATTTTCACTTACTATCAATATCTGAAATCATCCATTTTTAATGGTTCTGGAAGAATTTATCTGAGCTTTGCAGGTTTTGGAGATAAAGAATTGCCCCCAAAATGTGACTTCTTAGAAAAACAAAAATCCCTTACTTAAATCATGTTCTCTCTAAGTATTAATTAGGCAGCTCTTTATGAGAACATGATAAATCTTCATGACAAATTATTTTCTTTGTTCTTTGAAAACCATTACTTTAAAGCAAAATAATAACTTTAGAAATGAAAATTAGGCATACATCATGTCCCATTCTTTGCTTGACATAGATTATGCAATTTTGCTAAAACAGAAATTTCAAGTAAAGAAAGGACACAGAATTTTATGAAAAGAAAGACTATAATATACTTATATTTTCACTTGATAATGAGGCAGTATCTTTATACATCAGACATTTAATATTATGTTTTATAGTAATAACTTAAAAACATCATACCATGAACTAGACACATACTATTCTTATAGACTAGACAAACACCATTCTTACTGAAGAAATAAAGTTGATGCACCAAATAAAATTCAAAGACAATAATTTCCTATCAGAGAATAATTCTAAGAGATTTCTGAGTAAAAGATGAAGAGAACAGACATATAAAAATTCAAAAGATGCTATCTAATGGTCAGAATAAAACTGATCTAAAACATTATGTTAATTTTGTGCTTAATTTTAAAGGGACTAATCAGAAAAAAGTCATATATACTATTTATATTTTTTAAAAATTTTGTAGCACCTTTTAACTAGAAAGCTTATAAAATTTAATTTTGATCTCTATTATAAAATACAGGTTAACTTGATTATGCAACTAGACTCTGTCAGGAAATCTCCTTTGAAGCTAAAGTCACAGGTAGACTCTTAAAGATAAGTCTCCTTGTGACACTCCACTGTTTAATCTAGAAACTGGTTACGTTCCAGAACTTGCTTCCTGCTCCCAATTCCTTCAGGAAGAGCTGCTGTGAGGCCTCTTCATACCACAGGGACCCTCTGATTCATGTTTCTTTGAAGGCAGAGTCTATCATTTCAGTGGAATACTCAAAACTGTTACTAGGGAAGGGGCTGGGGAGATAGCTCAGTAGGTAAAAACACTTGTTTTTTTTCAAGTTCAAAACTCCAGCCCCCATGTAAAAAGAAGGGTATACATGGGCACATGAACCCACACAATCAACATGCATGCACTAAATACACACACACACACACACACACACACACACACACACACACACAAACTACTAAGGAGCTAGAAAGAAGTCCTGTTTCATATGAGTCTCTACATTAGATTTAAACATATTTGAGTATTTACTGTTCTTTCCAGCACTGTCCTTGGGTAACCTTCAACTAACTGCTACCCATAAAACACTGGAACTTTCTGGGACATGGAAAAGTGGGAGAGGGAGAGGAAGAGTGATGGGTCCTCAGGGAATTTCTAGATCATGTTGTTCAATATTATAAATGTGGGTGCTTTTATGAATTGCTTGAGTTGCTTTATCTTGGAAACTGAAAAACATGTAATAGAAATTATATATTTCACAGGTGTTTTCCTGCACATGGTTTAGTTTTCTCTTTAGACTCAAGCAGGATTTGGGTATATTCAAAAGTTTCTTGTTGCTTTCCTCCACTTAAGCCAAGGGAAGGAATTTACTGTAAAAACTATAAGGCTTGCAAAGTTTAATGCAACATTTGATAAAGACATGCCTTTTTCGGTGTTGATAAATGGCGTTTTTATTAAGATAATTTTCCAAAAATGACAAATTCTTGGGCTTGTGTTTTATTACTAAAATATATGAACACGCTCATAGATGGAGAAACATTTTAGCATATGAGAGGAAAATGTATTAGAGAGAAAATCTACATTAAATGGATCATCGCATCTAGGAAAATACTTTCTTGGAGCCTAATAGTATTATTATACATCGTCAAATATACCATTGTATATTTCAGAATTTTAGTTGAACTTTCTCAATATAGATCTGCTTAAAGTCATAAAAATCCATGGTAATTTTTTAGTTACAGCTAGATTATTTCTTTATGATCATATAGATTCACTTTCAGATTTTCTATGAGTATGTTAAAAGTAAATTCCAGTTTTTTTCCAATCAGTTAATATGCTAAAAATGCACTAAGAGAGTGATTCTTATATGAAAAGAAAACAGCCAGTTATCATTTTACTCATAGGGATTTGGTTTTATGGTGACCAAGCCCAAGCAAAGTCACTTTTGGCACCAGTTGCCAACAAAGGACTCGGTATTCCAAAACAGCCTCACGTTCACATTTAGAATGCTCCCTATGCCTTCAGTGTAGTGAGGACACTCACAGAATATGAATTTTGAGTTTCTGGTGGACGGTCCCACAGCTCATCACTGTCTGCCAATAAAAGAAGACAGGCATCACCTGGCAGCTACTGCATTTTGTGAGGAGGGGTTTGTATTTAAAAAGACGCTACCTTCTGCCTGGCAATTTCAGAGGAACTGGGACTTAAGGAATGAAAGCAGCAGAACGTGGCACTGCATGGCAGACTTCCCAGCTTTCTAAAGGGGGGCCTTCTCTTCTGGCTGCTCCTCCCACTCAAAGAAATCTGGCATTCCGTTAAATCATTTCCTCAGACTGGGCCTGGATGAGAAGGCCTAGAAACAGTCTCCCCCATAGACCTCCTCCAGGGTCTCCTCAGGACAAGACTGGATGGGACTGGCAGGAAGGCTAAAGAGGCTTGCTCTGCACACAGTGAAGACCTACAGTCTCGGCTTGTCTGTTTGGGACCTTTTCCTCAGAAAGCACTCTCAGAAAAAAAAGTTTTACACCAGGAAATTAATCATTACTTGAGAGGGAGCAAAAGTTAAATAAGCATTAAGTAATAACATCTTAAGTAATAAAAGGAGGGCAAAAACATGACTTCTCTGTCTCTAATATTATCATAAGAAGATATTTCTTAAAATCAAGATGGTTTCCCCTTTTCTTGAGAATTAGGTGGCATTACACTTATAAACAAAGCATATATGTACTTTCAAGTTGCCGTGGATCATTGACAAAATATTTAAAGAAACATGTGAGTCCAGGCGTGGTGCTGTGCACCTGTAATCCCAGCACTCAGGAGGTGGAGACAGGAAGACCCATAGGAGGTTACCTCCCAAAAAAGAGTGACCAGTGCCAAAGTCCAACTGAATACAGATTTCCACAGGATGGCTTTTAAAAAGCACTTTCCTGAAAACTGAATGATTCATAAATGTTTCTTTTAGTAGAAATCTCCATAACACCCCAGTCCTTCTTAAAATGAGTGAGCTACCAATAGGAGGAAGGGACTGTGTATTGTATGAAACCTTGCCAAACAAGTGAGAGAACTGGAGAAGTAACATCACTGTGATGGCGGCCCTGTACTCAAGACACGCTTGCCTGTACAGCATCATGGAATACTGCTCTGTATTTTCCCCTGTGGGCTGCAATGCCACATCACTGCAGATGTCTGTAGAGTTGTATATTCAGGCAAGACATGTATGACTTGTTTTTATTACAGATTGCTGCTTTTAATATTTCATCATAAATTTTTTATAATTTCTCACATTTGTGATTTCACTTTTCCAGTGGCCTATTTTCCCATCATATAGTAAAAATTATGACTATAAGGATTACCAAGGAATTACTAAGAATTTTACATGGAAATAAACTATACTAGAGAAAAACATCTTTCAAACGAGACTCTGTTAAGAAAGTTATAATTGAACACCAGGCATGGTGGTGTATGCCTTTAATCTCAGCACTTGGGAGGCAGAAACAGGTGGATCTCTGTGAGATTGAGGCCAGCCTGGTCTACATAGTGAGTTTCAGGCTGGCTGGGGCTATGGGAGACCCTGTCTTCAAAAAACAAAAAGCAAAAAACAAAAATCCCAAAAAGGGTATGATTCAAACAGGCCTATTTTGGAAAACAAACAAAACTTGCACAGTAGTTTTCTGTTTAAATGGAAGATAGGAATCTGGTTGAGAAAGTCAGTTTATGCAGCAGTTCGTGGTAGATCCAAACTACTTTTCAAGTTCAGTGTAAAATGGATAGAAGAAAATAATAAATTTTAGTTATTAACCTGTTGTTCTCATATCAATAAACAGCATCACAATGGTCTTTGCTTCCAAAGATGCCACCTCTCTCCACAGAAGCTCATGCACAACTTCTCGGAATCTGAAGGATGAACAAGAACATTTAAGATGTAGATGTTTGCAATTAGTTAAATAGGCACGCTTATTCCTCACCCACAGAAACTGCTTTAAGAAAAAAAGTTGGGGGCTGTATTTCTCAAAAAGCATCACTTTTTAATTTAATTTTTTCATTTTTTTAACCCAATTTAAATCTTTTGGATAAATACTTGTAGTAAAAGGACATGGGTTGTAACAGAGCAGAAGCAATTACAAAATAATGCTATAGTTAAAACTGAATGTCCTAAGGCTGGGAAGATAGCTCAGTGGGTAATATACAGCACAAGGATCCAAGGTTGATCCCCAGAACCCAAGACTGCCCACTTGTAATCCCTGAGCTGTGAGGTGGAGATAGGCAGATAGATCCCTGGGCATGCTGGTCAGCCAGCCTAGCCTAATTGGTGAATTCCAAGCCAGTGAAACACCCTGTCTCAAAATATAAGGTGGATGGTGCCTAAGGAAAGACACCCAAGGCAAGTCTCCACATGCGCACAAGTACACACAAGCATACACATGTCAGCCACACGCATGTACGATACACACACATAAAATAGAATTAAATAAAGCAGTGAAACTAGAAACTGGCACTGCAGTCTAGGATTCGGTTCTGCCGCCAAGTTTTTGAGATTTCCAGAAACACAGCTTCCTTTGGAGCATCATTAACTAAACTTCTTATTCTCAGATAACCTCACAGAAAATTCCTCTTCAGCTGTTATGTTCTGCGCTAAAATTAATTCCTGAACTAGGAATTCAAAAGCAACCAAAGAAAAATCTAGAGCCTTCACAGATGCTAGTAAGAGAGGGGCTTTCTCCTACTTAGAATTAATATTCATCCAAGTTTGATCTAAAGAAATGCATGGAAGTGGGCTGCAGAAATGGCTCAGCAGTGAAGAGCACTGGCAGCTCTTGCAGAGGACCCAGGTTCGATTCCCAGCACCCACATGGCAGGAAACAACCTTACTAACTCCAGTTCCTGGGGATCTAACACCCTCTTCTGGCCTCTGTGGGCACTGCATGACATGAGTGCACTTAGATACATGCAGAGAACTCATTCATACACATAAAATAAAAGTAATAAAATTTTTAAAAAGAAAAGCATGTAAGATCAAAGTACTTGATCTGAAAAGAGCAATCAGTTACCTGAGATGGTTTAGCTAGAAATATAAAAAACCAATAAAAAAAATTATTATACAACTTGGCTTGGTGGCTTAGACTTGTAATCTCAGGAGGTAAGAGGATCATACATTCTAGGCCAAATTGGGCCACAGAGCAAAACTCTATCTTAAAAGGAAGTTATTAACCATAGACAGTGTGTATATATATATATATTTTTTTTTTTTTTTTCTCGGCAAGTTCTTTCCAAAACCTTGAAAAAAAAAAGACTGAAAAAGCAAGACCTGACAGTTAAAATGTGGCTTCTATATGGACCACTTCTAAGTAGTCAAAGGGCTTTTATTTCCCCCTCCTTTAAGCACGTCTCTGCATTAGAACTTCAGGACGCCCTGTGCACACTGAGACATGAATCATTATCAGCAAGTGGGCCCACTTGGTTCCTCTAAAGACACAAACGGTGCAAAAATAGTTTCTGCGATTGAAGCAGAAGCCACGTCAGTAAGCAGATGAATGTGGGTGGTCAGATAAGATTCTGTTGCGGCAAATGGCAAATTATTAAGCAAATGCTGCATTTATTTTCTGTTTTAAACTTGGTTCTTCTTGCTTCAAATCAACCATTTGCTACACTCAAAATGAAACCTGTCAAGTTCAATTCTTTTCTAAACTGGAAGCTTCATCATTGTCAAAGAACATGAATATTTACCATAGGAGGAATAGTGGCAACGTCTTTAAAAAGACCAAACATCATTTCTTTAAAAAATAAAATGAAATGAAAGTGTTTCAAAGTAAGAACTAGAAGAAGGAGGAGCAGGAGGAGGAGGAGGAAGAAGAGTAGGAGGAAGAGGAGGAGGGAGGATGAGCAGGAGGAGGAGGAGGAGGATAAGTTAAAGTAAAAACCATGACATCCTTCAGGAAAAGAAAGAAAGAAAGAAAGAAAGAAAGAAAGAAAGAAAGAAAGAAAGAAAGAAAGAAAGAAAGAAAGAAAGAAAGAAAGAAAAGAAAAGAAAAGAATCACAGTACAGTTTTGCATTCCAAGCAATATTCACCCAAGACATAAATGGGCCAAGATGCCACAGATACTGCTGTTTATAGGCAACACATTTTTGCAGTATCCAGTGATCACTGGTGACTGGCCATCTCACAGTCATAGTCATCGAAGTAAAAGGCAAGAAAGGTATAGAGAGCTCAAATCCCAGTAGATCAGGACTGTTTCAAAGCACCATCCCTGCTAGGCACCTCTACAGACAAGCAGATGACAAAAGCCCCCACAGGCTGTGACTAAGGCAATGTCCTCACCTCTGGCTAGAGCAATAGCTACTGGAAATGGAATGTATTCCTCTTATTTCTAAAATTTTAGATTACAGAAGAATCCTTTTCACCCAAGAAGAAGATTGGAAAATGAGTTCAACAGATTTACAGTTGTGTGACAACATTTCTGACTTATTCAATGTTTGTGTTTCCTTTGAAAAACAACAAATCAGTAGGGATAATGTCATATTTGTCTTTTACCCTGTAGGAACTTCCCAGACATTAATGTGATTTTTTAAAAAGATTCAAGTGATATTAACATGAAAGATAAATTGATTTATGTGATTTTTTTTGCCTAGACAAGCGATCAGTTATGATCCTAAAAGTTAGACAATTATTCTTACTATTGAAATGAAAACATGGAGATATCTCAGAGAATTAATTTTCTCATTTATTTTTAAATTTTTTTTAAATTTTTATTTTATGTGTATGTGTTTGTTACCTGCATGTAGGTCAGTGCACCTGTGTCGTGCAATGCCCGCGGAGGTCAGAAGACTGTCGGATCCCCTGGGATTGGAGTTACAGACAGTTGTTAGCTGCCATGTGGGTGCTGGGATTCAAACCAAGGTCTTCCGCAAGAACAACTAGTGTTCTTAACCGCTGAGCCATCTCTCCAGCCCCAGTTTTCTCATTAATTTTAAGTGAATTTTTGTGCCTTGGTTTCTTCATCAAAATAGAAGAAAAATATTTCTTCAAATGCCCTTGATAGTGCTGTAAGACATCTCATGTTGATGTTTCCTAGAAAGAAATCTCTCCCTCATAAGGAGAGGGGAGATTGTCACTTTTTAACTTTACTTTTAGGCTATTAAATTCATAAGTAACTACCAGCTCCCAATACAAAAATCACAATATTTGATAAAACTAACAGGTTTTCAGAGAAAGTGCTAATAAATCTTGTTAAACATCTCTGGGTCGTTTAAAATAGATTCCTGAGTGTGAGGTGAAAATTATCTTTCGCATACCTAAATTTTTGTCACTAGCAAGTTTTACAAAAAAAGGAGGACACTCATGAAAGTATGCTCCACCCCTTACTTGTAATAAACACTTGGAAAGTATCATTATTTCTAACAAAGTGGTTCCTCAACCTTTTTATTTTTAGAAGAAAAAAATCCTAGGTATCAGATATATATTATTGGATTCTTATAAAGTATCATTAAACTAAGCAAGGAAAAAACTGCACTCAAAGATGCACAGAATATAGGAAAATAGGTATCTGGAAAATATCTGCTGTTGGTGGGATTCATTCCAATCTCTTCCAAATTATTTAAAGTCCCCTACTGAGTTGGGGTTAATATGTGTCTTAAAGTCCTGTAGTGTTGTTTTTATGAATTTGGGTGCACCAGAATTTGGTGCATATATGTTAAGGATTGTAATATCTTCTTGGTTAACTGTTCCTTGGATTAGAATGAAGTCACGCTCTTTATCTCTTCTAAGCAGTTTTACTTTGAAGTCTATTTTGTCAGACATTAAAATTGCAACCCCTGCTTATTTCTTAGTGCCATTTGCTTGGAATATTCTTTTCCTTCTTTTTACTTTAAGGTAGTGCCTGTCCTTGAAGGTGAGATGGGTTTCTTGCAGACAGCAAAGAGATGAATTTTGTTTCTTAATCCACTCGCTTAGCTTCTGTCTTTTGACTGAGGAGTTCAGTCCATTGATATTTAAGGTTATTATTGAAAGGTGTGTATTGGTTGCCATTATTTTGATTGCTGTTTGTGTTCTCTGTGTAATTTTGTGTTTCCTAGATTATATCTTTTTATTCTTTCGTTGCCCCTAGGGTATAGTTGTTTCTCTCTCTGTTCTCTGTACTGCTTTAAGTATTCTTTGAAAGGGCTGGTTTTGTGGACATGTATTCTTTCAGTCTATTTGTGTCACGGAAGGTTTTTCTTTCCCCCTCAACTATAATAGACATTTTTGCTGGGTATAGTATTCTGGGCTGGCACCTATTGTCATGTAGAACTGGAAATACCTTGGTCCAGGCTCTTCTGGCTTTCATAGTTTGTATTGATAAGGCAGCTGTAATTCCAATGGGCTTTCCTTTTCATATGACTTGTTATTTTTCTTTTGCTGCTTTCAGTATTCTCTCTTTGCTCTGTACATTTAGTGTTTTTACTATGATATGTCATGGGGAGTTTCTTTTCTGATCCTGTCTATTTGGTGTTCTATGTGCTTCCTGTATTTGTATGGGGATATCTTCCCTTAATTTTGGGAAATTCTCTTCTACAATCCTGTTTAAGATCTGGTCAACACCATTAACCTGAAATTCTTCTCCTTCCTCTATAAATTTTTAATGTGTGTGAGTGTTTTGCCTGCATGTATATGAGTGCTGTGGTGTTGCGCAATGCCTGCCAAGGCCAGAAGAAGGCCCTTAGAACTGGAGTTACAGATGGTTGTTAGCCACCATATGGGTGCTGGGAACCAAGCCCAGTCCTCTGCAAGAGTGGCCACTGCTTTCGATTTCTGGGCCATCTCTCCAGCCCCCTCTTCCAAATTATTTTAAAAGAACACTCAATGGAACCATTAGGTGAATCTCGTAAGAGGTCAATATTTTGCATGAACGTCTCTCAG